CTCCCCTCAGATGCAGCCCGAGTGTCATCCATCGCCAGTTGAAAATGAGCAACCAACTCAGCTTGGATCTTCAAGTCCTTCGTATCCTCTGGCTCGTCTTCAACGGGCACAACCTCGGTAGCCAAAGTCGCCACCCTCTCTTCCAGAGCCTCTTCTCAAGCAGACAAGCCTTGCACTCCTCGAATAACTTCTGAGCTTTCTCCTCGTCACTCCGCTCCTTCTCAACCACAGCCAATTTAGCCTGTAGCTTCTTCAACTCGACTTCTTGAGAAGAGATCCCCTCGGTGTAGGTGACCTCCATCTCCAGTATTCTCATCAAGCCACCAACATCCTGCGCCAACACTTCCCTTTTCTCCAGGCAATCCAGCCCTTCGAGGTGAAGAGACTCAGCCCAGGGGAGTTGTAGAGCGGCACCCTCAAAGAAAGCCCTTTCTAGCCAACAAGGGGGCATATCATACTTCCCTTTCCCCTTTTCCCCGGTCAAATCAATGCTCCCCTCGACATGTGGTCTCTTCGCTTTCGAGGACACATGAACGGGAGAGAGGGTGACAGTAGCTTCACCCGAAGACGAGTTTCCCGACCCTGATGTAGGAGCAGTCCTTGAACCGGCCTGAGCATCTTTCAATTCCTTCTTCGCCTTTGCGGTAATGTTCCTGGCTATGCATTCCTGAGCAGGATTCATGCTATCTGTAGAACAAACAACAAATTAGAGTTAGCAAACGAGGACTTAAAAATGTCGACTATATATAATTATTCTAAACATAAAGCTAAATACCCAAGTATTTAAAGGGGTCATCGCTCTCGAGGAGCTCCTTAATGACTATCAGACCGGGCTCGTACACGATCTCCCCGTTCTTATCTGTGACCGACTTTCCTCCCCGGTCCGCATGCTGGACGTGAGGAATCCGTGCGACAAAAGCTGTCAAAATGGCGAAGCTCGTCTGATCCTCGTCACCAAGCCCCCATCCTTCCACACAAAGGAACCCAACTTATTGTCAAAATGCTTTCTCGTCCACTAAAAGGGAACTTGTAGACCAACTTACTCACATGTTCCCCCAGCTCATTAAAGACAGGGGCCCCATTCTCATCATATCCTGTAGTAGCCCGAAAAACATTCAACACTGCCCTGCTCGAAAGAGGCTGCACGAGAATATACTTGTCGTTGAAGTGTTAAACAAATTCCAGGTAAGCTTTAAACAACTTCCCATTACGCTGCTTCAAGGCGACCTATCCCCACTTGCCATCAACCTTGCTCCTCTGAAGATGAAAACAATAGAAGAACAAAGGAATGGTGGCCTCTATCTTCAAATAATCACAGACAATCTCAAACGCTCGCATAAAAGTGACATCGTTCAGATGCAGCTGAGAATGAGCCAGTCGAAGATGCTTGAAAATGGCCACCTAGAAATTCGAGAAGGGAAGTCGAAGGCCCATCCCCCGGAACACAATGTCATACATGGGGATCCACCACTTATCATATTTCGAGCAAATCCGACTATCTTTCCTGGAAATCTAAAGCGACACTCCCCTCGGCTCCCGTCATCCTACGCACACACTTCACTAAAAACCTCATCCCGGTGCTCGAAGAAGTAAGAGACCCAATTCCAAGGATCCTCTGTGACCCAGGTCTACGGGTCCTCATCATCTTCAGGCGCGAACAGGCCACCCTGATCAGTGGAGGCCATCTCCACATCCTCTCCCCTTACTTGTTGATCGGACTGGTTCAACTCATCCTCGAATATCTCCAAGATGCTCGACGAGCTACAAGTCTCGTCCGTAGAACTCTGGGAAGATTCGATCTGACCGTCTGAAAGATCGTCTCCGACATTGTTAGCCATAGTACCTGAAAATCAGAGGATAAAGGTGAGTTTAACACTAATGTCAAAACCACCCTTCCACCACTAATCAAGTGAAAGGACGCTGATAAACGAGGACCATGACCCCGACCAGAACCCTCACTAAGGCATCTGAACAAATAAACACTTTTCTCAACAAGACAAACTTCAGTCAAGAAAAATGACCTAAATCCTCAAGGATCATCTACGGCACGTCACAAAAATCCAGGGAGGACCCATGGCGGCTCCGACGATTCTAAACTACAGAACTACTGTCTGCCACCAACACTCCCCGAGAACGCCCTAATAGACAGGATCCTAAACCTAACCATATGCATTTCTAAGAAGAAAATCGTGAAAATCTAGGCTACAACAACTAAATAACAACGAAAAACTGGAATCTTACCAATTAAAGAAGGAAGGAAGTTGAAAAGAATGGTAGCGAACAGTTAATCTTCAAAAAACAACGGCGGTTGACAGGCCAGCAATGACGAGCAATGCGAGAGAAGAACGAAAAATGCAGAATGCCATACTCTTCTTGTATTTATAGCTAAACTCTCCCGCGTCTGAGAGACACACGCCTAGGGAACCGTAGGACCGTCATCATTGCACCCTATCCCCTATGCCATCATTGCGCCACTGCATCAGCACACTACCCAAAACGCATTACCTCTTTAATTTTCGAAGCTCAAACGACCAACTAGTCATCTCTCCACGAGAAAGGCATAACGGGCGATGCTCACGCTCCTCGTAAGAAGCGCCTCATTCCACAAGCATGTGTTAAAGTCATCACTTATGTGTCCAGAAGCAACGACTTGAGGGCTACTATTCTGGACTTGTCTAACGACTAAAATGGTCCCAGTCTGACCTCCTTCTTCAGCACGGCCCGGGCTACCCCGTCATCCGTTAGGCACCATCGATCGTTCGTCCTCCTGGACCATCACAAACCTATGACGATCGACGAGCGCCTCTCAGTCTATCAAACCTCAAGTCGACCAGACAACCAGGAATCGACTAGACCGCTGCCCGTAACCTACCTCCTCATCGGAACTAACAGCTAGTTGCAGGCACATCTACCGGGTTTGACCAAGTCCTAACAATTACCTATTTTTATGGACCCACATATCTAGGCCCAAAAATAGAGGGACCAATGGCCAAGCGCCAAAGGCACTATATAAACCCTCACTCATGTGAGGGCCAAATATTGAATATCCAATATTCATCACTAAAACCCTAATACTTTGCTTGCATCTCTTTTTGCTCCCACACTTACTTGATCGTCAGAGTGTCTTGCAGGTATAATCCCTTTTTTCCTCCTCGACTTTCCATCCCGTCTGAAGATTATCATCCAGCCACCCTGCAGGTTTTGATCAATCGGTAAGATCAAATCTCATTAGAAAATAGTCTTCATCGGGATAATACAAATCTGGTAGCTGAATAAAATTCCAGTGGCACTCTATGAAATTCTTGACCATGTTCATACTAAGATCATCCCCTATTACATACATAATTATGGCATTTTCCCAGAACCGAATTTGTGATTCCACATCTTCATCCTCAATTTCTATTTCAATTTGTCCATTTACTAACGTTGGAGCCACATACGACATCATTCTACCTTTTGAGGGGTTTCTATTATCATTGATAACTACAACCCAAAGTCGTCTCACCTCTTGTTTCTCCTTTTGATGTTCCTCTTTTAGATTGTCTACCCCAATTGAATTTGCATCTTCCTGCTTCTCGTTAGTTGGTTATCATCTTCCGTGTCTTGTTCCTGACTTCCTCCCATCATCCCTGAGTATGGTTCCGACGAATCGTGAATACTTATAGCCGTCACCATCATCGATTTAAGATGCCCATACCCTCGCTTCGTCACCTTCATGACCATCAAAAAAAAATTTGTTTGTTTTAAATTTTCTTATAGAAAAACTTGTTTTTTTAAAATAAAAAAATAAATTAAATAAGTATTTATTTATTGTAATTAAATTAATGATAGAGGGTATAATAGGTATCGAAAAAGATTATTATTATTATTATTATTATTATTATTATTATTATTATTATTATTATTATTATTATTATTATTATTATTATTATTATTATTATTATTTATTTGTATTTATTTTTATTTATTTTTATTTATTTTTTCTTTCAATTAACAAAATTTACTTTTTCTAGAATTTTCTAAACACTCATCGTGTGGGCAAAGAAAACCTCCCCAAATAAAAACCCCAAATTGAAACCCTACCTTCCGCCATTTTCACCGGTTGCCAATCCAAGCTCCTTCTCTTCTTCGACAACAAACCAACTCACCAGCTACTTCTCAAAAAAAAAACCCAATATTTTCTCACAGATTCCTAAAATCTCTAAATCCCAGACAAGAAAAACCCAACCTTGTAAATCAATCATAAAGGCTTCATTTTGTTGATCTTTAAGCTATGGTACGTTCTCTTGCTCTATTCACGTCGTTTTCTATTGAATTTTTTTCTTGTTTTTCAATGAAATGGTGTAACGAAGCATAATATGTTGTTTAGGTTCTTTGTTTCTAAGAATTTAGGAAATTTTTTTTTTTTTGTTTTCTAATTAGATTGAGTTAGAGACTATTGAAATTTCTTTGTTGTATTTAGTAATTTTGAGGAGGCTGTTTTTTTTCATGGCTGTGTTATTGTTTTAGCCTACGTTTCTTTGTTACAGACTTTTTATTTTGGTGCTAATTTTGATGTGATTACATAGTTGTAACTGTTTGATGTAATCTATGAAGCGTGTTGCAATGTTTTGCAGTGTCCGACACGTGTCTCTGTGCAATAGATTGTCTGAAATGTTCCTGGTTTATTTATGCAGGCTGCAAAGATTCTCGCAAACTTGATTGTGATGGGAGGGGGAATCTTGGCAAGAGCAGTTGTTCAGGCGTATCGTCAAGCACTTACCAGTAAGCTTTCCAAACTATTCCTGTGTATATTTGAGATTTGTATGAGATTTGTGTGATAAAACATATATGTTTGCGAATATGCTATTAAATTATGAGATTTCTAAGCATATGTATGGTGTTGTGGGATTTCAAGGGTTATGTTAAGGAAGGAAATCTTTATTGCTTGGTCAATCTAGTTGACTTGTTAGAATCATTACAGGGGATGGAAGGATATTTCCTCTTTGTTCTTGCACATTTTAAATCATAGGTGTAGTTTTCTTTGTATTTTGAGAGGGCCATTGTTGATCCGGCTTTCTCCCGTATCTGACTGTTTCTAAGGGTTCATCAGCTTTTAACTTCTCATCAGAATTCAGAATCCTATTATAATTTTGGTCTTCACTGTATCTGGCAGTTAAAACTACAGTCAGTCCCAACTCTGCAAGGTGTTTTACAAGAGCAAACCCTATGCCCTTGTTTCCGCCGGTCACCACCGCCACAGTTTCCTTTGACCACCACACTCAATCATTATATATACAAGTAAATTAACCAAACACATTATATAAGGGTTTGGAAAGAAACAAGTATTGAAATGATAAGGTACCTGGTTGAGCAGAGTGAAGGAGATGGAAAATAATGTTCATGATCAATTTGAGTTTGAGTTACAGTACGAATGATGAAATATGTGAATGAGAACACTACTTCGCCATTATATGCTATTTATATTAACTTTGTTATGCTTATCATTATCAGGAATGTTGTGGTTATGAAACTAAGGGGAGCAAACTTTATGTGAATTATATATAACATAGTTTAGACTCAAATGGCATATGAAAGTGACATGAGAACTGTGGAAAAATGGAACATGTCATTTTATTTGGTTTTTTTAAGTCTACCACCATGGGCTGTGTGATTCAAATGTTAATTTCAATGACATTGCAAATGTTTTAACCCAGAGTTATTAATCCCCAATAGCGGAGTGGAGCGGCTAACTCCCGGGAATGGGAAAAGTGGGAATAGCGGGATCCCGGATAGCGGGATAACTTTTTGTATACTAATAATTATATAATAATCTATAAAATATATGTCATGTAATACTAAACTAATTTCAGAACACTCATAAAATATTTATAAAATCTAATGTCAAACAAAGAACGATGCTTAATTAAGATTCAAAACATAAAGATTCAAAACATAAGATTCAAATTCAAACTTAGTACTATCATATGAAAATTCAAGCAAACATAGAAATCATGTAGCATCATCAAAATATTCCTCCTATTCTTCATCTTCAACTTCTTTAACATATTCCTCCAATTCTTCATCTTCAACTTCTTCAACATCTTCCTCCAATTCTTCATCTTCAACTTCTTCAACATCTTCCACCACTTGTTGTGCCATTGGTGCTCTAGGTGTCATTGTTGCTCTTGGTGAAATTGTTGCTATTGGCGCCGTTGTTGCTTGAGAAGTACTTCCAACTTCGAGTTGCCTTGTTGTCCTCCTAGTGTAGATTATAGGTTCATTAGCCCCACTAGCATCAACAACTTGACTCCAAGTTAAATCATGATTTGGATGAACCAAGTCTTCACCATCATCTCCTACATTTTCCATCTCTCCCACCGGTGTGGAAATTAATTTCGTTAAATTCCATAAGATCAATTTTATCCCGAATTTCAAACCTCTCTACCAAACTTGATTATACTTGATAAACGCCAAGTCTTGCAATCTTTGATGTTCCAATTTATTTCTCTTCTTGGAATGAATCTAAAATACAATAATTTGAAGTATTAATTTAATAATACTTGCATGTAAGATACTTTAATATCCTAGTAAAAAAATTAATACTCACATGCTCAAAGATGCTTCAGTTACGCTCACATCCGGAAGCACTGCAACTCAAACTCAACACTTTAACAACCAACAATTGCAACTCCGAAGTTTCGGCTCCATAAGACTTCCACCACTCAGCTGCAAGTAATTGTAAAAAATCATTCCATATACATAAGTGTATGATATGTAAAAAATCAAAAAATCATTTCATCTTACCTGGAGCTAATGTCGACCTTTGTCTAATTGCCACTCTTATACCAAAGAGACCCGTAGCACCCCTGTATTGTGACAATTGTTCTGAAATCAAATCTTCCACTGCATAACTTTCACTAACTGTCTCAATGCACTTACGGAGGCCTCTCACCAATCTACCATTATTCTCAATTTCTTGTTTACAATAATAATATTCAGGATTGAGATAGTGACCTGCAGAATGTAGCAGATGATGAAGTTGACTCCCATCTTTTATCAATGATTTCAAATACGGCTTTGTACTTGCTTGAATTTGAACTAAAAGCTTTCTCAATTGATTCCTTCGCTACCCCCATTGCGGCATATATGTATCCCATTGTGGGTTTTCTTTGATTATCAACCATTCTTAGCACATCTACAAGAGGCGCCATGCACTTAAGAGTGTAGAGAACATCATTCCAAAATGATGTCGTAAGTATAGTAGTAGCTGCCCTTTGTCCTTTAGCATCTTTGACACACTTGGAACTCGTCCATTCTTCACAAAGGAACATCTCTCTAAGTTTGCCTTTTAGTTCTTGCATCCTTTGTAGACAAAGGAAATGGGTAGCAAACCTTGTCACTCCTTGTTTAATCAACTCAACATTGCCGGTAGTCTTTCTCATTAAATTCAAAGCAAAAGTATGGTTAAAAATGTATCCCACAACCTTAACCCCTTTTTGTATAACCTCCTTTGGAATTTTGCCTATGTCTTCTAACATAAGGTCTATACAATGGGCAGCACGTGGAGTCCAAAACATGTGAGGCCTCTTCAAACACAATTCTTTACCCGCCGCTACATAATTACTTCCATTATCGGTAATAAATTGAACAACATTTTTTTCACCCATTTCCTCAATAAAAGTGTCCAACAACTCGGCTAGCTTTTCCCCCGTCTTGGCATTGTTAGAAGCATCAACACTTTTCACAAACATAGTCCCCGTCGGACAATTGACCAAGAAATTAATCAATGTTCTACCTTTTCTATCCGTCCAGCCATCCGACATAATTGAACATCCATATTTATTCCTTTGCACCTCTTGGTTTTTCAACAAACCTTTTGTATATTCCAACTCATTTCAAAGGATTGCAACCCTGAGTTCATGATAACTTGGCGGTTTCAAATGAGAACCATAACTTCCAACGACTTCCAACATCAACTTAAAAACTCTTGCATTTGCTACGTTAAAAGCAACTCCACACGTATAAAAAAAGCGACCAACATATTAGATGGTTCTTGCCCTTGCTTTTTTATCACACGCATCATTGATGCTTGTGTCCTTACTCTTCTTATACACCAAATCCAACGGTCCCTTAGTTCTCTTGACAGCCATTGAAGAGGTGTCACTCTCAACAATCCTCTTTCCGGTTCGAATTCTACGTATTTCCTCAATATCAATTGTATCATCCACATCTAATTGCACCGAAACCTCTTGTATTCCTTTCTTAATTCTCTCTTTCTCAACCATGGCAGCACGTAATATAGCCTTAACATCCTCGAGTGTTTTCGTGCAAGAAATTACATCATCAGTAATTGCTAATTGATGTCTTTTGGCTCTACTTATTCCCCGCTGCTGATTAAATTACAAAAATCACAGGTCACCTTCTTCTTGTTATTCAAATCCTTCGAATGATTGTATTTCCATCCTATGTCCTTACTATTGGTTGGTTTGAACGTTGGAGCACATGAAACAACTGACGCAGAATTCGGTGTCGACGAGGAAGCTGCCATATTTTTCTAGAAAAGAAATAAAAGTAGAAACGAAGAGTGAAAAAGAGATGAGAAAACAGAGAGTGAAACTGAGATGAGAAAACACAACACAGTACAAAAGAAGTATATTACCTGAGGCTGACTGAGAGTGAAACGGAGAAGTAGAAGAAGGCGGCTGCTGCTGGAACGGCGGAGAAGTGGAATAGAGAAGTAGAAGAAGGCTTGCTGGCTGCTGCTGGAACGGCGGAGAAGTGGAACGGAGAAGTAGAAGGCTTGCTGGCTGCTGCTGGAACGGTGGAGAAGCAGAAGATGGAAAAATAGGGCACAAGGAGGAAATAGGGCACGAAGGAGAATATGAGAAGTAGAATTCTGTTTTAAAAACTATTTTAAAACAGGGGTAAAAAGGTAATTTCGTCTAAAAAAAATTTAACAAAAAAAATAGAAGAGCAGATCTGCGCCACCCGGGAGATGCACGCGATCCGCGACCTGGTCTAGCGGCGATAGCGTCCGTGATCCTCTCTCCACCACACCCATGTGCGCGTGCGGTAGGACCCTGCTCCGGTCTGGAGTGCCACGATAGCGGCCGCTATGGGCGCTATTAGCAACTCTGTTTTAACCCCAAAATTCTTGATTATGCGAAAATTTAATGGCATATATATAGTCCATTAAGAGATAATTGTTACAAATATTAACCTGGGTACAAATTAAGTTACTTTTTAAGCTATAAGTCTCCCAAAAAGGCTTTAATGATTTATCTCGCCCTAATAATAAAATCGAAAAAGTTTGGAACTTGTCATTTTCGTTGAAACACACGTATATTAAGATACTGAATTCTGACTTAAAATCATTTTGACTTAAAATCAAACTTCACAAATTCTTCTTTAGAATCTGCAACCTTGTGAGTGTGAGCATTTGCTAATCGTGGTTTTGAATGTATTGTGTCTCAAGTAAATCGGGTTATATTTGGATATGTTTACTTGAAAAGCAAGTAGTTCAATGTAAAACTTAGTGTAAAATTTTCAACATCTAGTAAAAGTTACTTTTCTTCACTATTAATTAGATCGAGGTTTGGAGGCAAAATCAATTTTAATTCAGATTAATATGATAGGCCCATCGTGAAATGGGAGTAGAGGAAGCAGGAATGATTGAGCCTAAGAAACCAATCCTGTTATCTATGAGAGAAGAAAGGGACAGGTGGCTCCAACAGAAGGTAATATAGAGGAGATGGAAGTATAATAACAAAGTGGAGGAAGGTGATTTAGGAATCAGAGGAGGAAAGAGCCGAGTGGGTAACTGAATATCTGAGAATTTCTAAGTGGTTTGTTAAACGGCACATACAATGGTGCGATAGCATATATCAGAATTTGAACAGATCGCTATTGAGTCAAGATATGTTATTTAGTACAAGCTGTTGTCAAATAGCGCATATAACGGTGCTATAGCATTGTTGTATAGCTTAATTTGAGCAAACTGCTATTTCTGCAATTGACAACACTGATGGCAGGTTGGTTAGGTTGAGAGGAGGAGAGCAGGAGCTGGCCTTCAGCATTGTGTTTCGTTGGTATGATTTAGTGCTATTGGATGGAATGAAATGCGGACTATATTCATCTTTAGACCTTGACAGCAATGCATCAACCTTTTCCCTGCTATTTTTTTCATCAGATTTCACATTTTCATGTTAATTGTAGAGATGATCTTTCAAACCTTACTCATGTCACTTGTCACACCTATTAATGTCATAAGATTTTTCATCGCCGTTGCCGTAGCATATCCATGTTCATTCGAATGCTTGCCACACTCTCATAATCGAACTAAATTTTGGGCTTTCTCCAATCCTATAGATATTGTACATAGATTGATCTTGCTTGCTAATGTGAAAACACTATAGAATACAAATAGTTACTGTTAACTCTTCTCATTTTCTCAACATTATGCTGTTCTAGATGCCTCAAAAAACGGTGTTGCACAAGAAACAATTCAAAATACTATCCGAAAAGCTAGCACAAAGATAACAGAGCAAGAGGCTCGGCAGATTCTCGGTGTTACTGAGGAAACTCCTTGGGAGGATATTATCAAGGTTAGTAGTATATCATCTCTACTGTGGCTATTGCTATTACCTATTTGATTCTCGTCGAACTATTTTTTATTTATAAATAATATTTTAGTGTTAAAAAACATATGCGTATCTTAAAACATAATTGTCATTGTGCAGAAATATGAAAGAATGTTTGAGAATAACGCCAAGAATGGGAGTTTTTACCTGCAGTCGAAAGTTTACCGGGCGAAGGAATGTTTGGAATCTATCAAAGAAAGCAACAAAGGTGATGGAAACCCTAGTTGAGGACTCAGTTTTACTCCATCAATTTTGCTCCATCTTAGTAGTCTCTGTGGTTATTTTGGCCACCATGTTGTGTACGATTTGCGCAATGAAAACTAAATTTGTTTTACTAGAAAAATTGTTTGTAAATGATTAGTTGGGAATTCATTACAAATAACGAAAGCTCTATAGAACTGAGGCTGTGAAAGCTTTTAATTTAACATAAAATGCTGATCAAAATGATATATCAATAGTAAAAACAACTTCATGTCTTATCACTATTAACATTTGTTCATAAACTGAAAGCTACTCACGACTAGAAGCTAATAAGTGCGTTTGTCTCTTCGATAAAACTCTTCTATATGTTTAAATCTTCAACATCTGCAAATGCTTTTGAACAGAAGTTTCTTTGCTCTTATGGTTACCACTTTGTAAATGCTCTCTTGCTATAAGGATGACATTGTACAGTTTGCATTGTTTCTGTTTTGCATTAGCTCAACTCACTCACCCTTGGTCCCTTGGTAAGTAAAGTAGAAGAGGTTTAAAATATAAAGTGTTAAGAGAAAAAGCTATTTCGACATAAAGAAACAACTGATACTGAAAGGACTTGAATCATAGTTTTTTCTTTCCTCGTTATTCTAAAATAATATTATTTTAAAATGTATTTTGTACCGTGTCAATTATTTATATTAAAATAATTTTTATAATAGAAATTTACATCTAACAACCATATAGTATACAAGGGGTTAAACATAATAGAAATTTACATCTAACCCAACCATATAGCATACAAGGGGGTAAACAGGGGTTGAGATTTGGTCACTTAAATGGTGATTTTGAGTTTCTCTCACTACATTGTATCTTACTCATTATACTTCTCTTTTTTTTTCCACCTTCTTTTTCATCAAAATTAATTAAAGTTACTTAGTCACCGAGCCATGTTTAGGCTAATTCTCCAAAAGTCGACCAATAGTTGAAATATACACTCACATAATGAGTGAACAATAGAGGAATTAGGATATTTGAAGAAAAAGATAGTGAAGGGGAAGACGGAATTAGAGAGAGATAATTGAGAGTGAGAATGAACAATTGTATTAACCTGAGATGAGGATGTCTCTAAGATATTTATACAAGTGTTACAAAATGATTGAAACCTAAAACATATGATCTAATTACAAGAAAAAACCAAAAATATGAGTCGTAATCAGTCAACACAAATGATTAATGATTACACAGACAAAATAATAAAATCTACATGTCATGTATAAACGGTTAACATGTTTGGTTAACCGATTAACACAATTCCAAAATAACTTTTTATATGCCCAGACGACAATATTATAATGCTCCATCTCACACTTTTGGACTTGTGGAACTCTATACCAAGGAAGTATGTCATGATATCAAGGTCGCTCATCTCAAATTCTTTCATAAGCTCACTCTTAAACTTAAAAATACTCATCTCGTTACTATCTGTGATCAATAAATCATCTATGTATAGAAAACAAGTGTATTCTCATCATCCACCTCTTGTATAACAACCTTGACTTCATCTCTTTGAGATTTCATCTGTTTCGCATTGCATTTTCTTGCGAAATGATCTAACTTTTGACAATTATAGCATTGTGCCTTACTCTAGTCATACTTCTTAATTTCACCTCTAAAGTTGTTTTGACCATCATTTTTGTTGCAGCTCCTCTCATCCTTTTGATAAGTTTCGAATTTTGAGACTCTTTTACATCAAAATTTAGAAAATTCCCTTTATTTTTCATGGGTCATTTTCCATTTGACTTGTTCTTCACATTGAACTGAGCTTACAAAGTGACCTCCGCCTTTGCCTTGTCGTTACTTCTCTCTTTCATCCTTTGCTCATGAGCTTCAAGAGAGCTTTGAAGCTCCTCTTTGCTCAACGTCGGAAGATCCTTCAACTCTTCAATTGTCATTACAATGTTGTCAAATCTTGCTGTCAAAGAACGCAAGATCTTCGATACCAAATTATGCTCTAAAATAATCTCTTCACAAGACTTAATTTTATTCACCAATCGTGTAATTTGTATCACGTAATCGTTGATTATCTCATTTTCCTCCATTTAAATCAATTCAAATTGACGTTTGTGAGTTTGTAACTTCACCATCTTGCCTTATCAGCCCCTGCATAAGCCTTCTCCAAAATTCCTCAAGCTTGTTTCGATGATTCACAATCACCAACTTTCTCAAAGTTGTTACCATCAATACATTGATGGATCAAAAACATCGCCTTGTTATATTTCTTCTTTTCTTCCTTGTATGCAGTCTTTTGAGCATCTGTTGCACCTTCGACAAGAGGAATCACATCATTCTTGATCACTTCAAGAACTTATTGGTAGTCAAACAACACTTTCATTTGCTTGCAGCATTTGTCGTAGTTTTTTGCTTCAAGGGGAGGAAGGTTTGTAAGGATTGTATCATTGGAAACAATATTCATGTTGCACAACAAATGTTTATGGATCAGAATCAGGCTCTTAATGCCAAATATTGGAACATGCAATAACATAAATGGTGAACAATGGAGCATTTAGGATATGTGGAGAAGAAGATATTGAGGAATAATAGAGAATTAGAGAGAGATAATTGAGCGTGAGAATGAACAGTTGCATTAACCTGAGATGAGAATGGCTCCACGGCATATAAACAAGTGTTACAAAATGATTATGACATAATACACATCATCTAATTACAAGAAAAAGATAAAAATTAGAGTCGTAATCGGTTAACACAAATGATTAACCGGTTACACAGACAAAATAATAAAATCTACATGTCAAGTCTAACCGATTAATATGTTTGGTTAACCAGTAAACACAACTCCAAAACAATTTTTTCAATATCCAAAAGTAATTTTGTATCAGCTGTAACCGGTTACATCTCCATATTAATTGATTACAACACTTGAATTATTGATTTTTACTCAACAAATAACAGACGAGGTAAGGAGGGTATAGTTGAAGATGTCATTTTTGAGACTAATTCTCCAAAAGTCAGACAATAACATGCAATAGTAAAGAGGGTGTAGTTGAAGACTAAGTTTAAAATTTTAAACAGTTTTGAAAAAACATTAGAACCGGATCTTAAATGCTAAAAATTATAAAAAAATGTTAATGTTTAGAAAAAATATAAAATAAAATAAAATAGACGAGATTGATATATTAATGAATACAAATTTAAAACCTTGATTCACTTTAAAATTAATGACATTGAGCCTGTTTTTTCACCCAAAAATTTTGTTACAAAAAAAAGTATTTATAAGGTGTGAACTTTATTTAATTTAAAGTATACAATAAATCATAAAATGATACTGGTTTGAAAGTGGACCTAGATATGTATAAGAGGTGGCTCAATACCTCACTATATCTAAGCTTAGGTATAATTGCGATATGGTGGGAGAACTGACTTGATTGTTTTGCGTTTGTGTTTGCAAATGTTGCGGTTTAGCAAGAGTCGTCATCGACTTTACTTTTATCCAAAAAAGAAAGGTGAAAAGCACAGGAAAGACTTTTAGAGATGTTTTCTCGGGTTCGGGGGATAGATTATGAAAAGGGAAGGTATTAGCACCCTTTTCATCCATGGTTTTCTACGGGATCTTAGTTACTTGTTAGATCACTTGCTTTTGTTTTGAAATGGTGCTTTGTGGTGTGGTTTTTGAAAGTATTTTGAAAATGTAACTTTGTAATGATTCTCGTTTTTATAAGAACGCATACAAAGTGTTTGTTTCGAAAATAGTTCAAAGATGTGTTTGTAAGATGTGTTTTTGAAAGTAATTTGAAAATGTAACTTTGTAATGATTCTCGTTTCTATAAGAACGCATACAAAGTGTTTGTTTCGAAAATAGTTCAAAGATGAGAGTGTGGGTGTATAAAAATATTTTTGTTGTGAGCAAGCGAGTAACTAAGAGCGAACCTACCTACTCAAAAGGTCTTAGATGTTATTTTCCTCCTCCTTTAGATGTTGCTATCTTACCATTAATTTGGTAAGAAGCTCCATCGTTGGATATGAAGGGATGAACGTTAGGACGTTTGAATAGTCATAGAAGGCAACCTATGTGACGTTTTAGCAACGTCGTTTAGGGACTAGATCGTTTTATCAAAGACAACATCGAGGATCATCGAGGGACTATGATCTTTTTTATCGAAGGGTCTTTGCTAAAACGTCCCATATTTGAGGGACATGAATATTTTTCGAAAGGCAACGAGTGAGGTTACCCTAGGAGTGCTAGTGTACAAGTGTGTTTGATTGCATGCATTTTAGTCTTGATTAGGGTGATCTATTTGTTGATTTTATCTTGCCATACATCCTATTTACTAGCATTTACATTTGAAAGCGATAAATTGCAGAAATGTAAAATCCTACGCTATTACAATATTTAGGGGATGAGGGTACATATTTATGAATGGGGGTCGCAAGTAAAATTAAATCCTAAGTTACTATTACAATCATATTGAAATGTACAATATAAGAAAGAAATGGACTTGTTTAGAAAATATTTTTGTCTTAATGAAAAAAGAAATAAATTAGTTAATAAAAGAAAATATTTTTATGTCTTTTTATGTTGATATTAAAAATGATGAAAAGGAAAATAAATGAAAGATAGAAAACAACGTGCTGCTATAAGAAAAACAACAAGGATTAAAAGTTCTGAAGCCATGCGCGTGATGACTCAGCAGGAAATGTCAGTGGGTATCAGAAGTTCTGAATTGGTACACTCTGAGGTCCTGCAAGACACGTTAGAGGGAAAACACAAAAATTATGGGTGGTATTCAGACAGTGGGCCACAAGTCAGAAGTTCTGTATTACACCAAAACAGTGAGTAAACTTAAGAAATTCAGTGTACTCTCAGCATGTGAAAATCAGAAACTCTGAGTGTTTGAAAACAACGAATGGAAACATCAGAAGTTCAGTGTATTTAACATGTAAGGAGAACTCAAAAGTTTAGTGCTGTGTTAAAACAGTGAGTGAATCATCAGAAGTTCTGTATTGTGTTGAGCCAG